AGAACCAACTGGTTAGCACCTATCACTGTTGTTAGGTACCATCGAGTCGTTTCTGAATCTTAGTGACCCTTTTGTACAGCAGAACCAAACACTGCCAGGTCCTGTGCCATCCTCATGATCATTGTTATTGTTGAGCCTATTGTTGCAGCGATTGTGTCAATCCATCTCGTTGACGGTCTTCCTCTTTTTCACTGACCCTCTACTTAACCAAGCTTGATGTCCTTCTCCAGCGACTGATCCCTCCTGATAACATGTCCAAAGTATGTAATACAAAGTCTTACCATTCTTTCTTCCAAAGAGCATTCTAGCTGTACTTCTTCCAAGACAGATTTGTTCCTTCTTCTGGCAGTCCATGGTATATTCAATATTCTTCTCCAACACCATAATTCAAAGGCATCTCTTCTTCTTAGGTCTTCCTTATTCACTCCCCAGCTTTCACATGCATATGAGGTGATTGAAAACACCAAGGCTTGCGTCAAGCGCACCTTAGTCCTTACCGCAACATCTTTGCTTTTTAACACTTTAAAGAGGTCTTTTGCAGCAGATTTGTCCAATGCAGTGTGTTGTTTAATTTCTTGACTGCTGTTTCCATGGGTGTTGATTGTAGATCCAAGTAAAATGAAATCTTTGACAACTTCAGTTTTTTCTCTGTTCATCATGATGTTGCTTATTGGTCTAGTTGTGAGGATTTTATTTTCTTTATGTTGAGATGTAAACCATACTGAAGGCTGTAGTCTTTGGTCTTCATCAGAAAGTGCTTCAAGTCCTCTTCACTTTCAACAAGCAAGGTTGTGTTATCTGTATAATGCAGGTTGTTAATGAGTCTTCCTCCAGTCCTGATTCCACATTCTTCTTTATACAGTCTAGCTTCTCAGATTATTTGCTCAGCATATAGATTGAATAAGTATGGTGAAAGGATACAACCCTGACGCACACTTTTCCTGACTTTAAACCATACAATATCCCCTTATTCTGTTTGAATGACTATCTCTTGATCTATTTACAGGTTCCTCATGAAAAAACAATTAAGTGTTCTGGAATTCCCGTTCTTTGTAAAGTTATCCATAATTTGTTATGATCCACACAGTTGAATGCCTCTTCATAGTCAGTAAAACACAGGTAAACATCTTTCTGGTATTCTCCACTTTCAGCCATGATCCATCTGACATCAGCAACGATACCTTCCTTCCAAGTCCTCTTCTGAATCCAGCTTTAATTTCTGGCAGTTCCTTGTTAATGTTCTGCAACAACTACTTTTGAATGATGATCTTCAGCAAAATTTTACTTGTGTGTGATATTAATGATATTGTTTCATAATTTCCGCGTTTGGTTGGATCACCATTCTTTGGAATAGGTATAAATATGGATCTCTTTCAGTCAGTTGGCCGGGCAGCTGTCTTCCAAATTTCTTGGCATCTTACACTAGATGGATAGTAATTCACAAAGTGCACAACCTTCACAATTAGTTTGTGTTGCCAGAATTTGTTATATCAGCTTTTTTGACAATAGATTATATTTCCCTTTAGAAGCAATTCTTTGTTAGTTTGATTTAAGTAATTTTTAGATTATTCAGACTGACTTGGCCTAGTACATTCATTCATCAAATTAACATTTGCTGTAAATCTATGATGTTCCAGGAATCATACTTGGCACTTTGGATGAAGCATGATTATGATTTGTACCTTCCTCTCTAGGATTATTTGGCTCTAAGAGCTGGATCTTTGGTCTGTGTAACCAGTGTGTTTCCAAATGGATTTTTAAAGTTGATTGTGCTAATTGACCCATAGTATTTGCTTAGAAAATACCATTGATTGAATATTCCTCATGTGATGAATATGAAAGGAAAATAATGCTATACCTATGTAGTGGTCATGCCTCTGAGTAGAGAGCCTATGTTAAGGAAAAAGCAGTCAGGTATAAAAATGCAGTGTGTCCTAGTTATTTGGTAGGGATAACGGCTAGCTAGGTGGTCTATGTTCAGATAAGGAGGATAAATGTCATCTGTAGTCAGTGTGGAGCAATAAATGATCAGCAAGAAAGATGTGGTTGTTTATATTAATGTTTTATTTGTTAATTTAGTAAGTGTTTTATTTCTTCTGTATAAAAGTAGAAACTTTTATAATGGTTCTAGGAACTGTTTTAGATATTGACAGTACCTATAAGTATAGCTATTTCTACCCTTATATCCCAACCTTGAATAAAGCTTGTACTTAGCAATTCAGTTGTTTGGAATTTATCCTACAGATCTGTTGGCATAAGTGAAAATCATTATACATATAAGAATGTTCATATGGGAATTATTTTTGGTAGTACAAATTGGACCCAACCATAATGTTCATTAGTAAGGGAGCAATTAACTAATTTTAATTTACATGTACTGTGAAATACCACATAATGAATAGCAAGACTTGGTTGTAGCTAAATGTACGGGTGAGGAATGGTCTGCAAGATATGTTGATTGTTTATTGAAAAAAGAAAATCACTAAGTTATATGTAAATTTTAAAAGTCCATATGTTTAAGTACACACACACACACATAATTAAAATGGTAGACATCCGTAAAGACATATACCAGCCTGTGATCTGTGGTTACTAATGGAAGAGTAGTGAGCTTAAGGGTGTTTGGAGAATAACTTCTACTATACTACACATACTTTTATGTAATTTTAATTTTTAAAAGGTGAGAACCTGAATTTCTGTGTCACTTTTGCAAACACACACACTCTTACTTAACTATTTTTAACAACTTAGTTAGAATCTGCATACCATACAATTCATCCACTTAAATATCATAATTCAATGGCTTTTAGTATATTTGCAGAGTTGTGCAATAATCACCACAGTCAATTTTAGAACATTTTCATCACTCCAAATAGAAACCCTGTACCGCTTAGCTGTCACCCCCCAATACCTCTATCCTCCCAACGGTAGGCAACCACTAATCTACTTTATGCCACTACATATTTGCCTCGTCTGGATGCTTCATATAAATGGGTTCATTCAATATGTGGTTCTTTGTTACTGGCTTCTTTCACTTAGTTTTCAAGGTTCATCCTTGCTGTAGCATGTACAGTAATTCATTTCTTTTTTATAGCTGAGTAATATTCCAGTCTATGGATAGGTCACATTTTATTTATATATTCATGAGTTGATGGACATTTGGGTTGTTTCTACTTTTTGGCTGTTATGAATATTGTTGCTATGAATATTTGTGTACAAGTTTTTTGCGCAGACATATGTTTTCAGCTCTCTTGGGTAATACCTAGTAGTGGAATTGCTGGGTCATATGGGCTCTATGTTTAACTTTTTGAGGAATGCCAAGTGGTTTTCCCAACAATGTGTAACAGATTCCATTTCTGCACATCTTCACCAAAGCTTGTTATTATCTGTCTTTTTGATTATAGCCATCTTAGTGGGTGTGAAGTGGTATCTCATTGTGGTTTTGATTTGCATGTCCCTAATGACATTGAAGCCCTATAGAGAAGTTCTGCTCTGTCCTACAGAGACTCTGTGAGTTGGAATTGACTCAGTGGTAATAGGTTTGATTTAATGACGTTGAGCAGCATGTGCCTATTAGCCATTTGCATATGTTCTTTGGAAAAATGTCTATTCAGATCCTTTATCATTTTAAATTCATTTATTTGTAATTTTATTATTAAGTTGTAAGAGTTCTATGTATTCTAGATATGTCTTTTATCAGTTACATAGTTTGCCAAATATTTCTCCCATTCTGTGGGTTGTCTTTTCACTTTCTAATGGTGTCCTTCAAAGCACAAAATTTTTAATTTTGACAATGTTCAATTTTTCTGTTTTTTTCTTTTGTTGCTGAAAATGTGTATATTTTATATATATTTGAAATATGGATGATTAAACATTTAAAAATGAAATAGTATATTTTATTCAAGGCAGAGTATACAAGAAGACAAAATTGAAATAGAGAAGATTAAGGAGGAATATAGAGTTCTTTTGGAGATTATTAAAGAGCTTTTTATCACTTAAAAGATTTTCAAGGGTGGTGACACTGATTTTTATTTTACTAATATTGAATCAAAATCGACATCCCCCTCTTAACCTGATGTAAGGCTAATGTTAGTGTAACCATTATGTTTATATGACTTGATATGAGAATGTTTTAGTTTTGCCAGATTTTCCTGATTAAAATAAACATAGACACAGTTTTCAAAAGAGTTTTTAATCTCTGGAGGTAGCAGAAAGATAGTGCAAGACAGTGGAAGATGATGATGGACTGGAGATGAGGAATAGTGAAGAGTTTGGTGAAGTAAGAAACTAGCCAATCTGGTGGTTTAAATGGAAATCCTGTTGTGATGGTGCATTTGCTGTTTTGGAAGCTCATTCATGGTTGATATTAACAGAGAGCTTGAGCTAGAGATAGGATTGTTAAAGAGATTATCCACAGTATGTGGTTACCCCTTGATCCCCCAGCTTCTTTAAAACAGGTTATTTTCCCTGAGAAACATGTCAGGTCTACAATGTACTTTGGCTGTCATTCATCTCATATACAGATGTAACTATCTTTTCTGAAAAGAGACATCAAGAACCGTTGTATGTCCAAAGCATTGCACAAAACCCCCACAAAGTCATGAAATGACAGCCGTGTGGCAAGAGCAGCTTAAGAGACAGTGATTTTAGTTAATAATAAACTGAGATTAAATGGTATGACTTACAGATGAATTCAATTTATTATTATATTATCAGAAGTGTGAAATGCAGAATAAAGAAGATGATTCCTTTGCTGTACTTTTCTCTTGACAGATTACACCAACAGTGGAATGCAACATCTTGTAAAGTACTGAGTTTTGCAGCTCTGGAAATGTTCGAACTAAAGGAGCATGATTGCTGCTCAGGACTTTATAAAGGGGATTCTAGAAATGGTTGATAGTGATTGGGGGCAAATCTGAGCCTTCTCACTCTGATTTATATAATTTTGTAGGCCATGCATGCCATTGTGTAGCATATCATGTAAAAAGAGAGAACGAACTATGAGACAGTCAAACCAGACACAGGTGACTGAATTCTTCCTCCTGGGACTCTCTGATGACCCATTCACCCAGAAACTGCTGTTTGTCTTATTACTGGGTGTCTACATGGTCACTGTGCTTGGAAATCTGCTTCTGATGTCCCTTGTTCAGGTTGACTCCCGACTTCACACACCCATGTATTTTTTTCTCTGCAATTTGTCTCTGGCTGACCTCTGTTTCTCTACCAACATCATTCCTCAGGCCCTCGTTCACCTGCTATCCAAGAAGAAGGCCATTTCATTCATACGTTGTGCAGCTCAGCTTCTACTCTTCCTCATTTTTGGGGGTACACAGTGTGCTCTTCTAGCAGTGATGTCCTGTGATCGATATGTGGCCATTTGCAATCCTTTGCATTACTCTAACATCATGACCTGGACAGTGTGTTTTCAGCTGGCCATGGCATCATGGACCAGTGGCATTCTGGTGTCTGTTGTGAATACCACCTTCATACTAAGGCTACCCTACCGAGGCAGCAATAGCATTGCTCATTTCTTTTGTGAGGCCCCTGCACTGTTGGTCCTGGCATCCACCGACACCCACACTTCAGAGATGACCATTTTTTTTGTGGGGGTCGTGGTCCTTCTCATACCTGTTTCCCTAATTTTGGTATCCTATGGCCTTATTATAGTGACTGTGGTCAGGATGAAGTCAGCTGCTGGGAGGCTCAAGGCATTCTCTAATTGTGGCTCCCACCTCATAGTGGTCATCCTTTTTTATGGGTCAGGAATTATCACCTACATGACACCAAAGTCTTCCAAAGAGCAGGAAAAGATAGTGTCTTTGTTCTATGCAGTGGTGACCCCCATGATCAATCCCCTCATCTACAGCCTGAGGAACAAGGATGTGAAGGGAGCTCTGAGAAAAGTAACCACAAGGAATTTCCCATCCAGCTTTGGGATCTACCACTGATTTTGAGCTCAGAGACCCTGCTGCTCCCTACTAGTAAGACTTAATGAGTAGTCACCTTTCTTGTGAATCTGGAACATGGTAAGAGGCTCATCTTAGGGCCTTGTCCTTGGATACACTCTCCATCCGTCATCCGGGATTTCCTTTGTAGAAGGAGAAGGACAATAACTCATGGAGCAATAAGAAGGTGTGTTTGCTTCCTTCTGGGTGGTCTTTTTCATCTAAGGGTTAAGAACTCTCTGGAGAAGCATTCACAATTTATAATCCCTAGAACCTGTAAAATATGTTTGTTTGTTTTTTTTTGTTGTTGTTGTTGTATGTTACTATATCTCTGTCTCAGATACTGTTTCAACCCCTTTATTGTTTGATATTCCTGAATCTCTGCATCATCGGGTAATCAAAAATTAACAAACGTTATTGTCAGGTGCTGTCAAGTTGATTCCGACTCGTAGTAACTCCATGTGGCAGAGTAGAACTGCCTCATAGGGTTTACTGTGCTATAATCTTTACGGATCCAGATCACCAGATCTTTCTCCTGCAGAGCTGCTGGGTGGGTTTGATCTGCCAACCATTTGGTTAGCAGCCAGACATTTCACCATTGTGCCACCAGTGCTCCATCAACAAACATTAATCACTTACTATGACTAGATGCTGTGTGAGTGTGTGTGTGTGTGTGCGCGCGCGCGTGATGTGGGTAGTGGAGAGCATGGGTACAATGAAGCAGAACATATGACCTGTGCTGTCCTTCTCACACTCTTCTTAGAAACATAAGGATCGAGTCTATCAGGATACACCTTTACAAAAATGAAGAGAGGATTATGGGAACCCGCATGAAATAGTAACATATCCCAGTGCTAGCAAGAGTGAGGAGCGTTACCAATCCTACATCTGAAGGACCAAGAGGAGAGAAATGGAACCTGGAGTGGGTAGCTCTACATAGAAGGCCACCAGATATAGGTATATGGAGGTGAGGAAGTCTTGTGAATAAATATTTAAAGCTCATTCTCTGTTATTGTATTTCAATTAGAAGCCAGAGAGCCAGAGAACTTGTTGATACAATGCATAAAAGTCAGCTTTCTGAGGCACATATGAAATTCAAAATGATAGAGACTAGGTCTGAAATGGCAAACATAAGCTGCAGTATACCCCTTTTACCCTCAGGATCCACTTGGTCTTTTTCTGGTGATTAGTTCAAGTCCCCAATGCAAGGAACACATAAAGCTTCATTGGCAACTTTATCATAACAATGTGGTATCAATTAGGTCACACTTCTACTTGATATCTAAAATAATAGCTCCCACCAGAACTATTTACTTAAGGAGGCTGAGGGAGAAACAGGTAAAAAGCAAACAACTAACAGGAAACATAGCTGCTATAGTTCCTGATTCTGGTCACAAGACCTAAATTGGTAATCATAACATCTTTCTTTTCCCAACCCTTTCATGGTTTTCTTATTTTCTGCCAGTACCTCATTTGGATGGGGTTCTTTATCTGATGATGTTGTTGTTGTGTTCCCTGGAGCGGTGACCTAAAATTTCTTTCCTATCAGATTTGAGTTCTTGGTGATCCTTTATTTGTTGGATTTCTGTGGTTGCCCTCTGAGAAGGGCTATTGTTAAAGGAGGTGTCACTGAGTGGTATAAACAGTTAATGCACTTGGCTGCTAACTGAAAGCTTGGAGGTTCTAGTCCTCCTTAGGCACCTCAGAAGAAAGGCCTGACTTATCTACTTCTGAAAAACTGGCATTGAAAACCCTATGGAGCATAGTTCTACTATGACCCACTTGGGGTCGCTGTGAGTGGAATCAACTGGTCAGCAACTGATTTTTTTATTGTTAAGAGAAGTGTTATAAGATATCCCACTGGATTCCTCTTGGTTCTCAGCCTGGTCCTACTTAGCCCCAGTTGTATCAGCAACCTAATTTGCCCTTGAAAATCTGGATTAATCACTATGGCAATAGAGTGACTCCCATTGTTAGCCTTCTGGTTAAGTAATAGGAAGACTCCAATACCAGTGAACAGTCTGCTTCGAATTCATTAGGATTATGAGTGGTTCAAGACCACCATGAAGGCATTCCTTCTTTGAACATTGAAAAAAAAACCGAACCCATTGCCATCCAGTTGATTCCGACTCAAGTGACCCAAACCCAGGAATGTGGACGTGGGTAGCAAAAATTCTTCAGTAGGTTACTGGTGTAATCATGAAATGAGCCACTCTACCTGTGTCTCCTGGTTTGCCACCATTGCATTCTGGTTATTTTAGGGACAGCATCTTATATTGACCACTATTTTAAAGTGCATACTGCATTTTATGAGACAGCACTCAAATCTCTCAGAGGTTTTCCCCTTGCTGGTGTTGTAACTGAAACTTCAGTAGACCATTCCACAATTTAATCAAGTCAACTCCTGATGGATAATAGGATGCTTGATGAGATGAGTAAATTTAATGGGCTTGAGCCTACTACCATGACTTTCTTAATTATAAAATATGTCTTCTTGGTAGGATTGATGTTGTCTGTGGTACATTTATCTATTGATAAGAATTCTAAAAATCAGTGAATGGTGATGCTAAAAGAAACACTGTGAGTCTGTTCATGTGAGAAGAAAATACTGTTAAGTCTTCAATGCTGAAAGTGTTCCGGTGTAATCAGTGTACCACCAGAGGTCAGTTGCTTCACTTGGCGAAGAATGCTATATTGAGGCTCAGTTTTGATAAATGTAAACCATGTTATAATCACTACCACACATGACATAAAAGATTTTAATCACCCTGAAAAGGTCCCTGATGCCCCATTTCAGTCAGTGCCATCCCTCTGCTTCTAGCCCTTGGCACCCATTGATCTGCTTTTTGTCACTCTGTATTTACTTTTTCTAAAATTTTACATAAATAAAATCAAACAGCGTAGAGTTTTTTAGTCTGGCTTCTTTTACATAGATTAGTGCTTTTGAGACACATCCATTTGGAGACATTGTATGTATCAATAGTCTGTTCCTTTTTATTGCCAAGTAATATTTCATGCATGTTCCATGAGGAAATGGGAGGATTACATATATTCAAGAATTCAGGTGGAGAAGAGAGGCATCTCATCTTTTCAGACAAAAGAGAAATAGACAAAGATGTGGGCATAAATGGATGCCACATTTTAGATGTAAGGGCATAAAAGGAAGCCATTTATGTCTGATCACCCCAATTATCTTGATGAAGTAGAAGTTGTTGTTTTGGATGGAAGGGGGAAAGGAGTTGAACAGGGAAGAATGCCAACATTTGGGACATAAGCTGAGAAGAATAGGATATGACCAACTGTATTAGTTTCCTGTTGCTGCTGTAACAAATTACCACAAACTTTGTGGCTTAAAACAACACAGATTTATTATCTTACAGTTCTAGAGGTTGTAAGTCCAAAATCAGTTTCACTGGGCTAAAATCAAGGTATTGGCAGGCCTGTATACCTTTCTAGAGGCTCTAGGGGAGAATTCATTCCCTTGACTTTTCCAGTTTGTAGAGGCTGCATATGTTCCTTGGCTGAGGGCCCCTTCCTCCATCTTCAAAGCCAGTAGTGTAGCATCTTCTCTCCTCCTCTGTTACCTCTGCTTCTACCTTTGTACTTTGTCTCTCTCACTCTGATCATTCTGCCTTCTTCTTATAAGGACCCTTGTGTGTGGGCATACCTGGATAATTCAGGATAATCTCCCTATCTCAAGATACTTAATCATACCTGCAAAGTACTTTTACCATGCACGGTAACATATCCACTGGTTCTGGGGATTAGCAGTTGGATGTCTTTGGAGGTCACTATTTTGCCTGCCACACCAAGCTCAAGTAAAATAAATGTGGAGGCATAATTAAATCTTGTCTAAAATTTATAATGGTGCCAATCTGCTTATTTGTGTGACTGTCATTATGCAAATAGGACCCCGTGAGTTGTCTTTTCAGTTATAAATTCTTGTGGTGATTTTTTAGAGTGCACTGCCATTCTGGGGCCCTTGCTACATGAGAGGTGAAGGACAGTTTGTGTGGGAGATTCAACTTGCCGTGGTACCTTCATGCCAACCCTACAAAGGTAGGGTTGTCTGTAGAGTTTGTAGAGAGGACATGCCTGCCCTGTTAATTATCAATGAATTGTCAGAGATATACTTACACAAAGCTGTATTTTCTGTGGCTTATGGCTGCTGCTTTCTGTGAGTCCAGAATTGGACTATGTTCACTGGAAAATGTCACAAAGAGGGGCTATTGTGTTGGTTGAGTGATATACAAGCTTAAAAAAAGACAATTTCATCTAATCAAAATAAGATTACAGAAAAAAATCTAAACAACAAGGAATCCTTGTGTTATTTACCACAGTTTTGTATAATCTGTCCACCTACACTTGACTGGGGCATTCTGTATACCCTTCCTGTCAAGGAACTCTCATATACCAAGTAAATAATTTTGAGATTGAGACAATTGTCAGTGTAGAGTCATTTTTTCTCCAGATGTGTCACCAACTGATTGATTATGGTAGGAAAGAAAAAACGCATCAATTGCTGGCCCTCTAAACATGTGTATTTAATAAATCTCTGGTGATTTTAACCACTTTTTTATTATTTCTCTTTCTTACGGGAATGTAAATTCCATAAGGCAAGAAGTCTATTTTGTTTACGAAGGTATCTTCAGGGTCTAAAATAGAGCCTGATACATGTTGGTTGCTGAGTAAGTATTTGTTGAAAAAATGATTTAATGACTGAAAAAAAAACAATTGTAAAAAAAAATCATTTCTTTAATTTCCTTGTAAACAATGAGACCCTGAAAATTTGCAGTTAGAGTATTTTTACAAGTAGAAGAATATATTGCAGAAGATTACATAGTAATATGTGAAAAAGTTCAAGAAAGTTTAAAATGAATAAAACATGGCAGATTGTAGTGAAGTTATCAACCTTCAGATAAGTTTCCAATATGTGAAAACTAGCAGCATCCTTGGAATCACTGATTCCACAGCCCCACAGAATACTGGGCCTAGTATAGGTCTTTCATTTATCACTTATGTTCTTTCATTCAGAAACTAACTCCAGTGCAAAGTCCAAAATCCCAGCATGTATACTGTGGCTCTGGAAAGAGTAGAGACCAAAAACCCATTTTGGAATTCATTTTTCTTTCCTTTTGTCCTTAAATTCTGCTGCTTCATTTTCCATCTAAGTCGATCTTCGTTCCTGAAGGCCAGGGTCTTGCGGATGACCCGCCTCAGTGCAGCCTTTACTTCACTGTTCCTTAAGCTGTAGATAATGGGATTCAACATGGGAGTCACCACTGTATAGGAGAGTGAGAGCAGCTTTTTGCTCTCAGGAGAGGTGCTAGACCGCAGTCGGAAGTATGTGAGAATGGCAGTGCTGTAGAAGAGGGAGACAACCAGGAGGTGGGAGGAACATATGGAGAAGGCTTTGCGTTTCCCCTCAGCTGAGGGCATCCTTAAGATAGTGGAGAGGATATGGACGTAGGACCCCAGAATCAGCAAGAAAGGGAAGAGGATGAATAAGACAGTAGCTGTCAGAGCCTCTAGTTCAAACAGAGAAGTATCAACGCAGACCAGTGCAATGACAGGGGGACTGTCACAGAAGAAGTGGTTCACCATGTTGGGGCCACAAAATGGGAAGCTGAAAATCCATGTGGTTTGTACAGTGGCCACTGGAAAACCTGAGAACCAAGAGGCAGCTGCCAGCTGGGCACAGGCCCTGCGGCCCATGATGACTGGGTAACGCAAAGGGTCACAGATGGCTACATAGCGGTCATATGCCAT